CGTCTGCTCCATTTTCTTCCCTCTGCTAACCTCATTTTATTTCAGGGAGTAAACCTACAGCCCCACCACACGGACAGATTCCAAGGCAGTGGGAAGTAGGTTTCAGACTATCCATACACCTGTTGGCAGATACCAGAACCTGCAGATAGATTTTGAATCACAGCTCCCCACTTAAGTAAATCTCAAAACTGCAAAAATGCCCATGCCCAAACTACAGTGCAACTCCAGAATTGAACAAAGTAAGAGGACATACATAAAGAAGAATAGGAGATTGAACAAACAGAAGTAAAAGCAAACCCTCTACCCCTGAATAACGGAATTAAAGAAGATGGTGACGTGGAGGGAAGGAAAAGTAGGAAGAGGAAAAAAACCGCACAAATGAAGAAAAACCAAAAGAAGAATACAGGTCTCACACAGACCCCTGGGAGGTCAGATACTGAGAAAATAGATTCTGGAACACAAACAATGAAGAGCCCCCAGAATGACTGGTCACATGCAACAAACCTAGACATCAAGACATTAATAGAGAGAATTTTAAAAATTGAGGAGAGACAAGAGGAAAATAGGAAGGAGCTGAGTCAGAAATAACAGCAGTAAAAGATGTGCTATAAGTTTGTGATGGAAATAAATAACAAACTAATAGCATGGAAAGCAGAATTAGCCAAGCAGAAGAAAGAACCTCAGAGTTTGAAGACCAAAACACAGAACTAACCCAAACTGTCAAAAGCATAGAAAAGAAGGTTAAAAAAAAACAAAACCTTTAAAAGATGAATGATCACTTCAAGAGACCGAACCTAAGAGTAATTGGCCTTCCTGAGGCAGAGAGAGAAACAGAGGTCACACTGGAACAAACATTTCATGAAATCATTCAAGAAAACTTCCCTCATCTCATCAGTGATGAAAAAATTCAAACACAAGAGATTCAGAGAACCCCTGCAAGACAACAAATGAGAAGAGCAACTCCCAGACACGTAATAATTCACCTAAACAAAGTAGGTATAAAAGAAAAAATCCTAAAGGCAGCAAGAGAAAAAGGTCAGACTATCTACCGGAAAGACCAAATAGAATAGCAGCAGATTTATCTACAAGTCTAGGAGAGCTTGGAGCCCTATTTTCAAAGTTGTAAAAGATAAACAATTTCAACCAAGAATAACCTACACAGCCAAGCTAAGCTTCATCAGTGACAGAGAATTGAAATCTTTCCCAGATAGCCAATCCCTAAGAACCTACGCTGCCACCAGACCATCTCTACAAGAAACACTTAAGAGAGTATTGAACACAGAAGAAAAGGAAAAAAGAATAACGTTCTTCACAAGACTACAGGTAAAAGATTAAACACACACATGATCCAACTCTAAAACCAAAAGAAAGACAACACACAAAAAGGAAGAACAACAACCCTGTAAGAACATTATGATAGGGATCAACTCTCACATTTCAATAATTAGTTTGAATGTGAATGGACAAAATGTACCACTGAAAAGACATAGAATGGCAAAATGGATAAAATATCACCAGGCAACAATCTATTGCCTTCAAGAGA